ACACACACACACACACACACACACACACACACACACACACACACACACACAGTGGACAATGGTTGCTACCTCTGAAAATGAGTTGAGATCAAATCACAGACACTATAATGATGATGACGCCAATACATGGAGTAAAAACATTTATCACAGCAGAGAGAATAGCATTATCTTTCRTCATCTGAACCACCTGCTAAGTCATGATACACCAAAACAGTTAATTTCAGTGTGTAAGAAGCTGAGGCATCAACTACATTATGATTGGCACCATATTGCAAACACACACACGTAAATGTTCTAATTGATAACAAATGAACAATTTTTGTATTCTGTGTTTATTTCTGCAAGGTGTGTGCACAATTCCTCTCAGCACGCTCGCAGGAGTGAGATAGTGCAGCTCCGTTTGAACAATAATTTCTCAGTCCAGCCGAATTCGTGCTGACACTCCAGTTTGTGCAGTTTGCTTTCTGAAAACTTCTTTCTCCCTCTTTTTTTTAATCCTCTGAGGGAAAGCAGGGAAGGGGAGAGAGGGAAAGAAGGAGAGGCCAGCATTGAATGCTGACAGGGACATAACTTGCCTTCCCTGCATGCCTTGTTTACAGTCTTGCTTTCTGCTGCTATAACCCTCTTCCCTCAATGGAGCCATAAAAAACAAATAGGGGCTTTTAGAGAAATTGCCTGTACACCGAAGATTAATAACAGTTGCACAAGTTCACCCAGGAAAGTCTCCAGAGGGAAGGATGATATTGGAAGATTAAAAGTGCCACATCCCTAAACTGGAATGAGTCAGTGCTGAGGCCACTTTCAGACCGGCTTAGTGAGAATCAAGGCCTATACCTGCCAGTCACAGAGCATCATTAAGTATTTACTTCTCCTTGAGGCTCCTCTGCAGGAGTATAATGGTGAGCAGAGGGCGTGATCAATCGTCTTTGTCTAGGAAGAGGTGGACTGAGAGCACAAGCAAAAAAAAATCATTAGGTCATCTTTTCACTGCTTTCTTTTCATGCATTTAGGGAAAAAAGTAAAGAAGGACCTTATCTGACCCATCACTGAACTAAAGTCTATTGAGGTTCCTTTCTTCCTTTTTTATTATTTTATTTTATTTTATTTTTTTGTTTTGTTTGATGGCTGCTGAAAAATAAAATATATAAAAAAACAGCTTAAAATGACATCATTTATAGTTGAGGCTTTTTATAAGAGTCCACCTGATTTCTTTTTTAAAAATGATTCATTGATAAATCCCAACAATAATCATCTATTACAATAAAAATGTTAAAACAGCGTGACTATTTTTAGTACAATAAAACAGCTAAACAACGTGTAAAGTTAAAAAAATATATTAGGAATCACAAATAAATCGCAAAATACGATTTTCTGTTTATTTATTAACTGTTTTAAAAATAAAACAAAAGAAAAACGTCATTAAAAGGACACATGCCTGAATTACGGCAAACTTTCCTTGTTGACAAATCACGACACTTTGATCGTCTGTGATCCTGCGTCTCCATAGTAACCGCCGACTCCGCAGCAACCGGCCCAACGCGTGCGTCTCTCAGGTTTCATAGCAACCACAGTTAAAAGGACGGACTCAGACAAATTATTGCAAACTGGACCGCGGTGGAGTTTAATTACTTACATTTTCCCGACAGTAATAATAATAATAGAATAGTTTCTGTCGTCGGTTCGGGAAACAGGAAGTAGGAAGAAAATGTCGAAGAAGAAAAGTGAGGAGAAAGTGGACGCCTTCACCCCGAAGGCCTACACGAAGAACTGCAGGGTGAGTGAAGACCTGTTTTTAACGGTGGCTTTAACTGAGCGTAGCTTCTGGGACTGGTTCACTTTTACAAACGCCAGACAGCTGACTGGACATCTCTGTACTGCGGTGTGGGGCTAGTAGTGTTGTAAACAGGTGACAGAAAAGGTATGATGGCGCCAAGTCTCACAAAGTCATGTTTGTTTTTCCTAACGTCTCTTCTGTGTGATAACTCTGTGATAACCTATCATTTACTCCTGCAACATTTTAACTAGGTCTAGGGCTGTCAAAGGATTAACATTTTTAATCTGATTAATCCCAAAGTAGCTGTGAATTAATCGTGATTAGTCTTAAATTTAATATACATTTCTATTGCATAATGATAAAAAATTACTTGCGTCATTAATTAGTTTTTAATGTTTTTATTTAGAAAACAAAATTGATACTTAGACATGATTTTTTAAAATATAAAACTGGACCTAAAAAATGCTCCAAACATATTTGAGTCAGTTAAATGTTGTGCAGAATAATAAGGTTAAATCAAGAATTCAAGGATTTTCATTCCAAATGAGTACTACATGAGGAATGATAGATACATACTAAGGTCACAGTTGTCAGCAAAACATAAATAAAATAAGCCATAAGAAAACAAACAAAAAAAACTGTACATAATGTGTTACACATGGAGTTTTTTATTTTTATTTATTTAACCTTTATTTATCCAGGTAAACTGTTTGAGAACCACTTCTCATT